ATAGATAGGGAACTATACTAGTGACTTGTCTAATTTTATTGTAGAAATCATCGTGATCACTGATTGGACCATGCAAATGAGAAATGCCGTTTCTTGGATAAAGGAAGAGATTATTCAATTCATTGTCGTATCGCTCATAATATATATAATGACTCAGGCACCCATTTCAAATGCGTATCCTATTTTTGCACAGTAGAGTTATAAAAATCCATGAGAACCGACTGGCCGTATTGTATGTGCCAATTGCCATTTAGCTAACAAGCCCATGGATATCAAGATTCCACAAGCGGTACTTCTTGATATTACATTTGAAGCAGTTGTTCGAATTCCTTATGATTTGTAAGTGAAACAAGTTCTTGCTAATGGAAAAAAGGAGCCTTGAATGTGGGAGCTGTTCTTATTTTACCTGAGGGGTTTGAATTAGCCCCTTTCGATTGTATTTTGCCCAAGATTAAAGCAAAGATAAGCAATCTGTCTTTTCAGATCTATTGTCTGACGAAAAAAAAATATTCTTGTGATAGGTCTTGTTCCTAGTAAAAGAAATATAGTGAAATCACCTTTCCTATTCTTTCCCCGGACCCCGCTACTAAGAAAGACGTTCACTTTTTAAAATATTCCACATACGTAGGCGGGAACAGGGGAAGGGGTCAGATTTATCCCGACGGGAGCAAGAGTAGCAATAATGTTTATAATGCTACATCGGCGGGTATAGAAAGTAAAATCTTACGAAAAGAAAAAAAGGGGATACAAAATAACCATAGTGAATGCATCGGATGGACGTCAAGTAATTGATATTATCCCTCTAGGACCAGAACTTCTTGTTTCAGAGGGCGAATCCATCAAACTAAATCAACCATTAACGAGTAATCCGAATGTGGGTGGATTTAGTCAGGGGGATGCGGAAATAGTACTTCAAGATCTATTACGTGTTCAAGGCCTTTTGCTCTTCTTAGCATCTATTATTTTGGCACAATTCTTTTTGGTTCTTAAAAAGAAACAGTTTGAGAAGGTTCAATTGTCCGAAATTAATTTCTAATTTATCAATATCAAGTTTTAAAAAAATCAAATTTTTGTTGAAAATTGTGTTATGTAATTCTCTATGATCAAAAAAATTTCTGAAAAGCCTTTTGCTCGTTTATATTCTTTTTCTATCAGGTTTTGAGAATTACTTGTGCCGTATTTCTAGTCATAGTATGTGTGTTGTGAAGAAGACTATTTGACTTTACCTAGCCCTTCTCTATTTCTTTGTTTTCTCAATCAAAATAAATTGGAAGCGGTATGATTATGTTATTATTGTTAGATTTAAATGCCATATAATAAATCAATCGTTTTCTATTCTAATATCTAATAGAATAGAATAAAAGTTGACTAAATACTAAACATAAGATAAATAAGCAGAGAATATAAACCAAAATATATAAAAAAAATGAATGAGAGGAAAAAAAACATTTTATTCTAAGAAGGATTATTTGTCTTCTTAGTCTTTGACACAAGAAAAGGAATTTTCCACAACTCTTTCTTGTGTCGAAATAATAATCATTCTTGATTCTGTTCATGAAAGATTCCTATTCGTAGTTTCCATTTTTATTTCAAGGTTTATCATAACCCTTTTTTAGATTTTTTATATAAATATAGTAGTAATGGTGGACAAACAAAAATATAGGAAAATTTATTGAACAAATAGAACTTATTCACTAAACTTATAAAAAATATAAGCTTATATATATTATTAAGAGCTCAACGGGACCTACCCCCTCTTTCTTTGTGTTCTTCGAGGGGGATTCTGTTGAGTTCTTATGTTTTCATGGTGTGTCTACAATCCTGTTCACCGGATTACTAAAGGGATGAATCTAATACAAAATATGAACCATAAAAGAAAATACCGATTAATTCGATCACAAGAATACCGGTTACAGTACCTATTATCCAAAGAGGAATCCTTCCAGTAATATCGGCCATTTGTCCTACTTTCCTCCACATTTCATCAGGTGGTCATGTTAGAGACATAAACAACCATAGATAATTATGAGATGATATCCTTCCGAATGGGATAAAAGAATTTCTACTATTATTTAATAGTCTTCTCTTTTCTTTTGTTAATTGAAGAAATAATTGAAAAATAAAACAACAAGTACAAAAATGAGTAATAACCCCCAGTAGAGACTGATATGATTTAATTCAACATTTTGTTCGTTTGGGTTTGATTGTGTTGTAGCTCTATGATTCGGATTAGGTTTATCGTTGGATGAACTACATGACTGATATTGATCCCAAAAAAGAAATGGTAGGCACAACTAGTTTGTGAACAGCTAACCATCGCACTATAAAAATTGGATAGGTTCTGTCTATAGTCATTGGGACCTCCTAAAAAGATCTACTAAATTCGTTGAGTTGTTCCAAAGGATCAAAACAACCAATTATTAATGGAATTCCTTGTCGGCTTTCTGTAAAATACTCATTTGGACGGGGGTTTCCAAATACATCGTAAGCTAAACTCGTGCTGACAAATAACCAACCCGCAGTGAATAGGGAAGGTATAGATAGTAATGCTATGAATGACCCAGTAGCGAATACTGGTAATAATATCAGCAAAAGAATGTTCTCATGTGCTTCCAAACATGTTAAGCTCTGCATATTCTTGTACAGCTAAAGGGGGTCGACTTCGTAAAAGATAAAATCAATAAATGGAAATTCATTGAAATTGAATCTTTGTGAGATTTAGAGTATACCGAATCAATATAGCTATCTTTCTTCTGACACAGCAACGAAATTTCACAATCAGTATCGAAATGAAGTGTTAGAGAATTTATTTATTTTTTTGTTGCTTGTGCATGTAGAATTTGTACCATTCAATTCATAATTCCTTAAAATTCCTATATCACTAAAATTCCTACAGTACATGTAGTAGTAGTACTTGTAATATAAGAATAGAAAGATTTTCTTTATTATTAGCTACCAGAGGTAAAAATACTAGATAGTATTCAAGGAAAGAAAGAGAACAATAACTAAATAAAATAATAATTAATATTCGTGTCCATACATTATTGTTGTATTAAACCCAAAGGAAAGGTTCTTCTTGACCTAATTACAAGAATAGGGCTTTGTAGTATGGAAAGAAAAAATTTAAAAACTAGTTTTGAGTGATCATTTGATTCTTCTTTTTTTTTTTTTTTCCTTTCTCTTTTCGTTCAAGAGATTATGTAAAAGAACTCATTATTCAATTTAATAAGTTCAAATTAAAGTAAAAAAGTAAAAGGCATTTTCGTTTTAAGCTAAGATCACTACTCATCGTTATAAAAATAAAATAAGTAAAAAAAAAAAAAAAAGAATTTCGGCGATACAATAAAAAAACTATCCAAATAGAGATGATTTTGCAATTTTAGCCCATAGTGATTCAAAGAAAGTTTCATTTTTTAATGAAGTTATAAATTTTTTTTTATAATTATTTAAAATTCATTAATAAGATTCTATATATACTAATATATATTAATATATTAAATAAATAGAATATTATTAAATATTGGCTATTAGTTTATTCAAGTAAACTAATACAGATAGATTATCTTTTCAAACTATATGCCATAGAATTTTTTATATTCATGACCATCTCTTTTGCCGTAGTTTCGAGATTGTCAGATCTGCACCTCCAAATCCATCCAGTTTGGCTTTTGCTGAAGGGAACTGAGCTCTAGATGTCAAACTGTAACAAGCAGAAATCATATGTTCATCACGAAAAACAAACAAATAAATAATTAAATTATACAATAAATGCAAACATTTTAGTGACTGGCTAGAAAGATACGAGCTTACGCAATAAGCAAACCTTGTAGAATCACATATCAGTTCCTAACATGCGTCATGAGAAATTCTCGAGTCACGATATAGGTGAGTGACTATTAAAGTTCTAGCCGAAACCAATAATTTCTTATTATCATTTAACATATTCTCCATATCCAAGCTCTTCAAGCTATTTTGCACTTGCCCTACATTTTCTAAGTATTATGTATGATACACAAATTTTCTCTTGAAGGGGTGCATGATAATCTTGTTTGAACACACATAATATATGGTTAGATAAAGGAAATCAGTTCATAGCTGAATAACTACTAGACACACATAGAGACTGCTAGTTGATAAATATATTTGTGACAAGACTTCTAGATGGAGATAACAAGCCTATGAACTTATAAGGCAGAAAGATTAAAAAAAAAAAAGAAAAGAAGAAAACCAGAAACCTTGCGTGTTTTTGTGTGTGTGTGAGAGAGAGAGAGAGACGAGAATCTTCATCCATTTATGTGTTTATTCATTCTAACTAATTCTAATAAACCAACTAGTTTCTGTGACTGAATTATGGATCACAGACAATTTCAATGTCAAACACCATCCTTCAGAAATCTGTGACACAATAGTATTTGAGAAAAACAAACATGGTGACAGAAAAATATGTACTATAATTCCAGCATCGAGAAGATTATTATTAACCTCTCACCAAAAAAAAGAAAAAATTAGTACTAACCTGCTCCTTAGAACAACACATGGCATGCCCACTCGCTCAGCACCAGCCACTCCAGATTGGCTTCCTGCAACAAGGACGCAATTGTAGACAGGTAAACAAGCACTTTCTGCCCCTGCACGCAGTGCAGCTATGATCTTCCCTAAGCTGGATGACCGTCAACATGTAAAAAAAATTTGAAACAGAAATGTCACAAACAAGCAACTAATTTCATACAACACGTGTCATTATCATTTTTCAGAAACAAATAATTTGATCAGGTCACATGACACCTTATTAGCATAACCATTTCTGTGATGGTATGCATCTGAAAGAGACAGAGAACTGAGAAGATATTTAAGCCAAGGAGAATACTAGCCTTTCAGAGGAGGTGGTATCTATGTTAACACTCAACTTTAGCTTAGATGCAACTTCCTCAGCTATCCTTTGTTTCTCGGCAGAAACTGGACCAAAAAGAACGAATTAACCAATTCAATAGTAGACATTATGCGTTCAAAAGGAGTCCATCACCAAACAAAACAGGTCAACTAACTGGGGAGAAACAACTTGCCTGCTTCATTCGCCTGCTTGGCTAGTTCCTCGTTTAAACCAGAAGAAAATTCTTTATTACGTACAAGTTGGCCATACATGCTTTGTTCTACCTCCTCGTTGCCGATGATCTTTACCTTTGAAACTCTTTCATGGCCAAGCTTTTCAGTTATGGATCTAACATGTTGTGAACATATGCAAGGAAATATTAGCTAGCTCCCAATCTGTCAATAATGAACAGGTCCTTATACACTAAACTGAAAAAAATGAAGAACCATATGTCCATCAAACTAGGAGATACAACTGAATTGCACTGTTGATATCTGTTAAAGTTGGCATCACTGATACCCCACTTCTTTTGAAATATTGTAAGGATCGACAAGTTCATAATGATGGTTGAGAAACTGCCATACCATAACTCAGATATTCATGATAAAGAAATAAAAGATAAATAAATAAAGAATGAAACATTAAAAAAGAAAAAAGAAATATTAAAGCAGACTGAGAACATTTGTTTAAACACATATCTTAGAGCAGGGACGTAAATGGGGCTGGGAGAGCAGGGGTTTAGTCACTCCGCCCCATTAATTAAGCGGGATCACCTTCCACTTATGTCAAATCATCTTACTGATGAGTCATTACCCCCTATCCTATGGTCCAAATTCTACAGATTGGGATCAAGTGATTAACAGAGATGTCACTAGTTTAAATTTGTGAAAATATTGATAGATGTTGTGAATAAAATAAAAATGTTGACTAGATCTGTCTAGACTTGATTACTTGTTTCAGAAACATGGAATTAGTCATAATTCATGAATTCGTAACAGCCAGTGATACATCAATGACTAATTAATTTTAAAAAAATACTAAGTAAACAACTATTATATGTCATGTTGCGTGAACCAAAACAAAAACTACAAAAAGGAAAAAAAAAACAAAAAAAGTACGAGAAAAAAAGCTTGAGATTTCTATTTTGTTATGTCTTTTTTACTTATCATTTTTATTTTGGAAAATATGCATAAAGCTTGAACTTGAACTTGAACACGAAGTGAAAAACATCATTACTTTAATTTGGTCACAATATTTGATGATGATAACATGCTGAGAAGACGCATAGAGTTAGTCCTAATTATGTCCATGTATGCTAAATCAGTTTGATTATGTGCACCTACTAACACAAAGGTCAGTATTAACTATATTTAGTTAAATTTATTGGTCTAATAATCCAATTTTATCATCAACATATTTATGGACGTATATGTTTATATATTGCAACACATTTTAGCATACATTCAACATGTCACCTACAGAATGAGAATGAGATACCAAGTAATAGCAGTAAAGCACCACCGATCTTATGGCTAAAGGACCACATAGAATATCCACGGTCTTCTGTCTAAAAAGAGCACATAAACATCAAACATAAGTGTTGTTACTATTTACTCCCTTTGACATAATGTTATTAAATCTATTTTCTAGTTTCTATTTCCTACTCATGTGGTATGCATCTATACAGACTTATGATTGATAAGATATCCCTCCTAGGCTGATGCAAAAATTAGAAGACAAAGTTGAATAAATTTGACAGCTGACAGATCTAAATAGTCAACCACTGTCTGTTCTCAAGTGTCCAAAACAGCATGCTCCTGGCTACCTTGCTATTTTATCCGCATTTCTACTGTAGGCAGTCAGTATAACCACAGGCACTCCTCCATTATAGGCATCATCAATAAATCTGCACATTGATAGAAACAAACAGGTTCAAAGTTTGATACTGAAGGGGAGAAAAACAAAAAAGCAGAAAACAACCAGAGAATAACAAAATAACATTCAGTATTACAAAAGCCAGTAAATCTATGTGTGTGCTCACAAATTGTCAAAGCAAGGATCAAAAGTGTTTCATAAAAGACAACCTCATCAAGAATACTACAACCAAATTAAAGACATAGGAACAATGATTTGTTACCAAACACAATATCTCACATTCGCACGAAACTAATAAATGCTTACTATTTGGTAAAATATCGCCGATAAAATAATCATACAAACAACCCAAAATTGTTGTAAGGTGCAAAGCATCAAAAATACGTGGGCAATGCAAATAACTTGTATGAGCAAGCCAAATTATCACAATCGCACTCGATATTTTTAGAGCAAGAAAATGTTCTTCATAAAAGCTTCTTTAATTTTAAAAACTCATTGGAAAGCTGGAGAGGATACACATTAGATGAACAACCCAGATCTAATCGGGATAAGAACGTACTCTTCAACTCCGGGCCGTAAAGGTAAATCTTTTGATACTAAAAATTCATTAAATGCTGTCTCCTGCCAACAAATAACCAACCATTAAGTACCTTACCTTTTTTTGTTCTCAACAGAATGGGTAAAAACCAAGGGATCAAAGGAAAGGAACGTAATATCGGATAAGACTAAGTGGTGTTACTTAAACAAGTTATGGACATTTGAACTTTTTCGTACCCACATCAAATAAATCAACATTTGCAGTAGGTCTAATTGTAATAATAGATTGTTGGGTGATATTCTCATCCTCCAACACATTAAAAACTTAAATGGCATATATAACCCAAATGATCAAACTATTGACATGGGCACTTAACATTATTTTCTAAGGCTCCGTTCATTTCGCTGATTCGAGTTTAAAATTTGAATTTTGTTACAGTAAAAAGTTCTCACAAATAGTCACATCTAACTTTTTTACTACAGTAAAAAACTCTCACATAAAGTCACATCTCAATTCGAATTAAAAACTCAAATCAGCGAACTAAACGGGCTCTAAAATTCCTAGTTTCTAATGAAACCGTCAACATCAGAAAGCTATCAAATTATCGCTTCATGTATGTGCATCAAAATATGTAGCCTAAAACAAAATATTTAGTACGGCGTGCATTTATTTCAGTAAATAGCAATACCTTTTCTTGCAGAACACGTTTGACAAATGAGGACTTTTCGCTTGTGGGCAGTGATGTAGGCCAGCCAATCTACAAATTGGATTCAAGCAATATTTACGTTACACTCAAAAGAGGCCCCGTCTTAAACTATTTGTACTTTACATACATAATGAGAGGAGGAACTGACCCGGTTAAAAAACAAAATCAGCATCCTTTCCTCATCACCAATACTCTTCCTGAAATTTTGTCGTCAAGGTTTATAGCAATTTTATCAGTAGTCATTCTCTTTATGAAGATATTTCACATCACAAAAGAGGATTTTCATGTCAAGAGAACTAAGGACGTAAAGTCAAGTATAACAAACATGGCACATGTATCAAAGTACAAAAAAGAAAGAAATGAATGGAAGATATGATCTTAAATATAAGTATTTAAGGGCAAATCTCAACTCTCAATCATTTCCCACCTTACAAGGTCTAAATAGACAGGCTCACTCCAACTTGCACAGTCCAGCCCAAGCTTTCGAAATGCTGACAGTGATAGGAAAAAAAAGAAAAGAAAATCGTAACTAAAACTGCACACATCTATTGCTCAGGAAATTTCTGAAACGCCCTATGGCCTATATGTACAATAAACATATGACGGGTGTATTTGCTGCACCTGTGTTAAAGGCTTGGCGATTTCCCAGGCGATATGCATCCACAAGGACCCTAAAAGCAAGAAAATGCATTGAGGAAAAAAAAAATCAAGCAGAACCAATCTAAAACAATTTTCTAAAAAAATATTACTGAAAATAAAAGCAAAGCACTCATAACAAATCAGAAAAGAAGAATTCGGACTTCTAATCTCCATCTTATCAAAAGAGAAATCCATCAATTTTCTCAATTTGCTTTCATGATCTCACTTTGAATCGTGGATTCCAGCATCAGAATATTCTATAAGCTGTAAATGTTGAAAGCAACAATCCAATCTAGAATTGGAATTAGATGTACTGAATCCACTAAATAATTGAACTACAGACCATTCAAATTCCAATTTTACAAACATCTGTCGACATATAACCGAAACTTGACATAGTAAACCTGAATAACAAAAGTCCTGTAAATCTTTCATTTTCAAAAAGAACTACACGTACACAAAATTAAGCTAAAACTACACCATAGAATGCTTATCTGATGAAATAAATCAGTATAACATAGCAATGTCGAATGACTATACAAGAAAGTGGCGTAAATTTGTAAATAATAAGTAAAATAAAGCTCTAATATGGATTAAAAACTGGACCAAATTCGAATTTAATGCAAGCTTCATAAAGTCAGCATGTAAGATAAAAAGAAAAAAAAAAAGGAAAAATGAATTGATCACCCTTCAAATTCAAGAAGCACACCGAGTCCCTGAGACGAGGTCTCGTCGTCGCCGAGGTAGTCTGGCGGGTAGTTTGAGCAAAGAGGCGTGAGAGGAGGATTGGTGTGCGGACATTTTCCCAGAAAATTAGAGATTTTCTCGGGAAAATTGGAGCTGAATGGAGGGAAAAAACTGAGGTGGTTTCTGGTTACAGAGCAGAATTGAGTTCTAGCGGTGGTGGAGAAGCGTAGAGCTGTGAGCATTGGATTTGGACACAGAGCGAATTCCATGGCGGTTAGAGCAGTACACCAGACTTGGCGGCTGAAAGGCGGAAGTTGCGTTATTCATCAGCTATAAAGCGTGGGGGAGCGGGGTGCGGTTACGGCTGTTATTTATGAAGAATATTCAAATTACAAAACTAAAAATATCAGTACCAAAAAACATCATGGGTAAATAAATCAGTTTATTTTTTTATCAAGAGAATCGGTGGAGCGTGTTATTTTGTTCCTCGTAGAAATGGTAAGTGTATATTTAGGTCCCGTTTAGTTCACTGATTCAAATTTTTAATTTGAGTTGAGATGATTTTATGTGAGAGCTTTTTACTGTAATAAAAAAAGTTAGATGTGATTGTTTATGAGAGTTTTTTACTGTAGCAAAACTCGAATTTTAAACTCGAATCAGCGAAATAAACGAGACCAATATATGAGTTATGTTCCGTATAAATTTACGATTTTAGTTCTATTTTTTATTAAAAAAATTAAAATTTTAAAGTTATAATTTAAAATTTTCGATTACATCCATATACTAAGCAGACTTTAAAGTTTGTCTATTAAATTAGTTTTTTAATAATTAAATTAGTATAAATTTATATTAAAAATTTATTACGTATCACGTAAATTTGACACGTAAATTTGACAATAAAAAAAAATTAAAACATCTTTCATAGTAAGAGTCGTATTTAATATTATTTTTTAAAGAATTATTTTTATAAATACTTTAAAATATATACTTTATTTCAAAATGTCTCTTAATTTTTTAAAATAATTTAAACACTTCTGATTTATAAAAAACAGGTCAAATTACCCTTCCATCCATTTCTGTGTATCATTTAGATTGAAAATGCATACTTAACAATAAAAATGAGTTAATTAAAAGTTTATTAATAACTTTAATTATCTTTAAAAATTAATTAAAGATATTTAACAAATAAAAATCAGTTATTTAAATATTAATAAAATAAAATAATGAAATTCAAAATTCTCTTCATCTTCATCAATGGCAGCCCATACTCCTGTCTTCTACGCCAAACTCCCCAACAAAAAGCAACCATTTTCAAACCAAAGAAACCAAGACAACCTAACAAATTTTCATTACAAACAACTTCATACAACGATTTTGTGGCGATTCAAATCAGGAAAAATGAAAAAAAAAAAAAAAGAAGAAAGCTTTGAAAGTCATATTCTATTTTCTCCAATGGAAGAACCCAAATTTCAGTCGAATCAAATATTGTGTTCCCAAGTCTCAATCTTTTCGTTCTTCTAGATTGAATTCGGCAAATTTTCGGCTGAAATTGTCGCCTTCTCCGTCAGTGAAGAAACCATCTACTTCAATTAAACTTTCTTCGTCTCATTCAAACATCTCCAAAACCCAGATCTACAAAATTTAAAAAAAAAAAGATTCAATCTTAATCAAACACCTTAATAATTTTATTAAGAAATTATTTTTAATATAAAAAAATTTATTAATCTCTCTCCCCTCAAAAACAGAGAAAATAAAAATAAAAAATAAAAAATTATAAAAAATTATTTTTTATTTTTTTTATTTTACATAAAATTAAAAAATTATTTTTATATCCGTTTTTTATTTTTATTACACCAAATGCCGTTTTAGAAACATTTTTATTTTTATTTATTTTTTTTTTAAAAAACGTAAAAAATAAAAATATGATTAATTTCAAACACGACCTTAAGGTTATATGTTTGTTTTTTAAAATAGCCTGTTTTTTTGTTTGTTTTTTTATTAATCTTCAAAATATTATTTGTATTTTGTGGGTGTATTTATTATTTTTTAATAATTAATTTATTTTCGTTAGTTTAATTTTGTTTTTTAATGTTTTACTGAGTGTCACATCAGTAAAAATTAGAATAATAGAGAGAAGTAGGTGAGGGAAGCATTTTGAATGATTTTTTATATATCAAAAAAGTATTTTGAACTGTTTTAAAATATTAAAAGTAATTTAAAATAAGATACATATTTTATGAAATATTTATGAAAATAATTTTTTTTGAAGTGAAATTATTTCAAAGTTCAAACCCTTACCTTAAAAGATCGTCTGGTATGAGATAATTATAAAAATGAGAATGAAAATTTTTTAAATTTTTATGTTCAATATAATTATTAGACTTTTTTAAAACTATAGGTTCGTAAATTTTACATTACCCCAATTTAAAATAATCTTAAACCTACTCGATTGGGTTATTCACTTTTTCGTAATATTTACGGGAAACAATTTGCCCTACTATTTCTCTCACCCACGCATCTCACCCATCTCTCTCTCTCTCTCGTCCAGACCCAGCCTCTCTCTAATAAACGAGACCAATATATGAGTTATGTTCCGTATAAATTTACGATTTTAGTTCTATTTTTTATTAAAAAAATTAAAATTTTAAAGTTATAATTTAAAATTTTCGATTACATCCATATACTAAGCAGACTTTAAAGTTTGTCTATTAAATTAGTTTTTTAATAATTAAATTAGTATAAATTTATATTAAAAATTTATTACGTATCACGTAAATTTGACACGTAAATTTGACAATAAAAAAAAATTAAAACATCTTTCATAGTAAGAGTCGTATTTAATATTATTTTTTAAAGAATTATTTTTATAAATACTTTAAAATATATACTTTATTTCAAAATGTCTCTTAATTTTTTAAAATAATTTAAACACTTCTGATTTATAAAAAACAGGTCAAATTACCCTTCCATCCATTTCTGTGTATCATTTAGATTGAAAATGCATACTTAACAATAAAAATGAGTTAATTAAAAGTTTATTAATAACTTTAATTATCTTTAAAAATTAATTAAAGATATTTAACAAATAAAAATCAGTTATTTAAATATTAATAAAATAAAATAATGAAATTCAAAATTCTCTTCATCTTCATCAATGGCAGCCCATACTCCTGTCTTCTACGCCAAACTCCCCAACAAAAAGCAACCATTTTCAAACCAAAGAAACCAAGACAACCTAACAAATTTTCATTACAAACAACTTCATACAACGATTTTGTGGCGATTCAAATCAGGAAAAATGAAAAAAAAAAAAAAAGAAGAAAGCTTTGAAAGTCATATTCTATTTTCTCCAATGGAAGAACCCAAATTTCAGTCGAATCAAATATTGTGTTCCCAAGTCTCAATCTTTTCGTTCTTCTAGATTGAATTCGGCAAATTTTCGGCTGAAATTGTCGCCTTCTCCGTCAGTGAAGAAACCATCTACTTCAATTAAACTTTCTTCGTCTCATTCAAACATCTCCAAAACCCAGATCTACAAAATTAAAAAAAAAAAAAGATTCAATCTTAATCAAACACCACCCCTCCAAGGAACATCCGGCCTCATCGTTAGGCAACCCACCCCACTCACCGCCATCGAACCCAAGCCAAGCCGACCCATCCCCTGTTTGCAACCTTCCGCTTCGCACCCCTCGAAACCCAGGTCCAACTTCCCTCCTCCTTTTGTAGCAGCCCCTTTCAGCAACTAAGCTCCACCTTTGCGATGATCCGTTCAAGCCGATGGATCATGGAACATACACATGGAGAAGAAGATGCTTTTGAGCGCATTTTTAGAATTCATTTTAAAATGATTTTATTTTTTTTATAAAAATAAAAATATTTTTAATTTTAAATAAAAATTATTTTTAAAAATATATTTAACAGTTTTATTAAAAAATTATTTTTAACATAAAAAAATTTATTAATATCTTTCTCTTTGTACGTGATAAGAGGAAATAAAAATAAAAAATAAAAAATAATTAAAAATTATTTTTTATTTCTCTCATATTTTGCA